GGCATTCCGTGGCTCTAGATTTCTTGAATGCACTGTCGAAACCTTTCATTAAGCTGTGTATATATGTATATATACATCTGTTTCGCGTGTTCGACAAACTTGCCGGTTTTAACATATTTGTCTTTCACCGCTTTAAAAGGGCTACGCGAATCTAGGACTAACGATCACGTAACGCTGGATAGATCGTTCTGAAGACGGAATTTCGCCAAGGCCGTCGGGGCTGGCTCCTCCACCTGCATCGGACAAGGTGATTTCTTCTTGCAACAGAAGAATGTACTTTTTCCTTGCGCAATACCCTGCAAACCCTTTTACTTTTTCTCACACGTGAAATTTCTGCCGGTCCCGGGGATAAAAGGTGAGTTCACCCGCCCCCTTCCTCCGTGTAATCATGCCACTTGCGAAACACGGATTCGAATTACCTGTTACTTTTTTTTTCCATGCCGCGATTTATTTAACGTTTCGATTTCGACAGATTACTTCGGGAATTATTCGATAATTACATGCAAATGAATTGGTCTCGCGCTGAATAGCTGCCGCGTTGTGTCAGAGTAATAACAACGAGACTTTCTTAAAGAATTATTTGACTCTTGCTAACTTAGAGATTTTGCAATTTTTTTGCAATCTTTTTTCTTTTTCTTCTTTTATGGTGGAATGTTATTAAGTGGTACAATTGGTCGTAGAAATTGCGGAATTATTGATTAGTATTGGTAATAATATTTTGCTTTTGAATTTAAAATTTGATCAAATGGTGAATGGTTGGTTTAGTTGATAGATTTTTCTGTCACTCGTATGTCCTATTATATGATGCAACGATTAATCATTTCTTTATTTTTCATTTTAATTTTTGCTCGATTAAAAGTGCATTAAATGCTATCTTCTGTGCATCTAAAGTAATTAGATTATTATTCAATTAACCTATTGCAATGAGACTTAATTATGAAAAAGTATGCATTGAAGTAGTATTTAATTTTGGTTAATCCTTATCCTATCAAAAATAAAGTTAGATAAAAGTTTTAGAAATTCTTTCCATTTTTTTTCATATTTTTAATCACATTGACCTGTGAAAAATTTCCACATCCCCAAATTTTCAATTATAAATACTATCTCCAAAATGAATGAAATATTATAACATTAAGTATAATCTTCCACCAAAATGTTTCCACTTTTTACCCTAACTTAATACCCTAACACTGATTATTCCATGCATACTCTGTTTTAATTTATTTAATTTAGAAAACGGTTCTTCCAGTCTATAACACCCCAGTAATATATTACGGGCCAGGTAATACCTGTATCTCAGTTAACCATAAAAGAAAGGCAGAGATCTATACCTACTTACACCGGTTTCGAAGAAAAGATCTTGCAACATAACCTCACCTGTGTTCTGCTCCAGCGACATTCGCCGGATCGATACATCAATGTTACGTGTATTAGATAACTACATGGTTTAGTTATTATATTATAGCAAAGTTCGTTAAAAATAATACCTCGCAGAAGCGATCGAGACGATTGCGAATTCCAGTCGGACCACCGCCATGTTAAAAATCGACCACGTCGCGTGCTGCCATCTACTCATCACTCGGCGCGTCTAACCTAGTTACACATCGCCGCGATGGTGGGTCTATGAAAGCGCTCTTCATCCGCAATTACGTCGTATCGAGACGAAAATCGATAAAAATCGAACGAGGATAAAGAAATTCGAGATTTTGTCTATTAAACTTGAAGATTATTAAATTCGAGAATTTATAACGCGCTTGAAATCGGATTTATTCGATGCTAGAGAGCTTGTAACGTGCGACAGTAATAAAATTTAACTGGCAGAACAATTGGATAATACCACAGAAAGAAATTTCCAATTTATTTTTAACTTTGGCATCGTAATTAAGAAACCCAACTACCCGAAGAAAAAAAATGCCAATTTCCAAATCTAGATCTTCTAAATCCAATTATTAAAAATCCCTAGATTCCTAGATATAATATTCTTAGCTCGAAATGTATAAACTTATACATAAATATAATGAAATTTGAAAAATTCCAATTGCCTAATCTAGATCTTCTAAATCCAATTATTAAAAATCCCTAGATTCCTAGATATAATATTCTTAGCTCGAAATGTATATACCTATGCATAAATATAATGAAATTTGAAAAATTCCAATTGCCTAATCTAAATCTTCTAAATCCAATTATTAAAAATCCCTAGATTCCTAGATATAATATTCCTAGCTCGAAATGTATATAGCTATACATAAATATAATGAAAAATATTTAGAAAATTAACGATTCGGTGATTAAAACTGACCTTAAATTTTCCAGTAAAAATGCTAAATTAGGTATAGTATAGTAAATTAATAAGTGTTAGATATGTCATATATCACACTTGTCCTGTAATAGAGGCTCGCGATTCTGGTTCCTCTCGCTTTCAACTCCAATCTGATCTAACGAAAGCAGAGGCTGAGGAACTATTAGAGAAACGGGAACATTTATGCAAAAGGCATCCTTTGCGTGACAGCTCTAATTGATTAGTTTCGTCGATATCTCGGCCGTGAACGTTCTCCGGAAGTAATCTCGATTCGTAGCCGCGAAACGGGCACCGACTTCCGGCTTCCTCGAACGGGGAACACGGTAGCCATATCTTCGTTTCGATCACGATGCAAAGGGACGGGGGAAAAAGCGAAACTTCCACGTGGAAGAGTCGTTTATTCGATGATATCACGGTATTTACGCCTATATACTTTCTCAGCTCTATATTCGATCCGTTTTTCGACCGCCATTTTACGCGTGCGTTATGAGCACTTTCACCGTGTTTGGCTCAGAGGTGCTTTAATTACTTTCCACCATTATCTCCACGGATTGGAGTA